GTTTGTTATATGGTTCCAATAACCATACAAAAGTTGTTTGCTATTCAGGTATTGATTGGCCAGGATCTCCTTTTGATAGAAGAAAATCTACCTCAAGGCATTGTGTCTCCATTGGTGGTAACTTGATTTCTTGGAAGAGCAAGAAACAAAGTATTGTGGCAAGATCTAATTCAGAAGCATAATATAAAGTTATGGCCTCAACCACTTGTGAACTTGTTTGGCTTAAGCAATTGTTTAGAGAGTTACAATTTGGAGATGTTACTCAAATGACACTTATATGTGACAATCAGGTGGTTCTTCATGTCAGTTCTAATCTTGCCTTTCATGAAATAACTAAACACATCGAGATTGATTGTCATTTCATTCGAGAGAAGAATGTATGTAGAGACATCAAGACTGAGTTCATTAACTCAAATGATTAGTTAACAGATTTCACTAAGTTTTTAAGGGGACCAATAATTGATTATATTTGAAACAAGCTTGGTACATATGATTTATATTCACCAACTTGAGGGGAGTGTTAGATATATTGTGTTTTATTCACCAACTTGAGGGGAGTGTTAGAACCTGACCAGAAATTTTCACACTTACAGATCTATTAAGTAATTCGAAAAGGGTAAAAAGAGAAGGGAGATCTCCATTATTGGACCACAAGTAAATCATACAAGTGAAGTTGATATCATATATAACCCAAAACCCTAAGGCATTATGTTATATTGCTCAAATTGTCATTTTTACGGCATACGAGACTTCTTACTAACACTTGCCCAGACTGAATAAAGATACACACAAGATAAAGACTGAATAAGGAAGCACACAACCAAGTCAATCACATACAAACACATAGAAATAGATGATGATTGGACATAGAGATTACAAAAAGGAGGTTTCTAACCTTAACCAACTCAACAGCTCGCGGTGAGAAATCACATGCATACACAAAAGCATCTGGATATGATGCTATCACAGGAAAGATAGTATTTCCAGCTCCACAGCCAACCTGTTTAGCACACACCATCACTTGTTAAGAAACTTACTAGACCAAGGACCTCATGGAGAGCATCATGGACATAAAATGATCTGTGTCAATAAATAACCAGTACAAATTTCACAAGTGATAAGTAGAAGTGTAGAAAATAAATGCAGGAAGTTTCTACCTGCACGATCACATTATGGTTCACGCCAAACTTTAAATCAGAATAACAATCACATTAATCCAATTATAACATTGTGGCATGCGTGTATGCTCAACATTATAATTCCTGAGTAATTTAAACATTAACAAAGGATAAACTAATAAACCACAGAAGCATAAAGAGTATGATCAGGAATATATACCTCCAAAATTACTTTCTTTCCTCCTCCCTGAAAATTAAAAATCACTTAAGCCATTATTGCAACACAATCCAAATTGCATAAATAAACAAAGATGGTATTTCCATTCACTCACAGAAAAGTACTCGCCCCATTCCTTATCCAAGTAGTGCCGATCTTTGAAAAACTGAAGAAAGGTATTATTACCAAAGTCAAATTACACAACAAAATTCCACGAAAATTAAACAATTAGAGTTAAGTTATCCAGTTACATCAAAAGACATCACCAACAAGAGGAAATCATGTATACTGGATACACCAAGTGAGCAACAAAATTTGCATGAACAGAGAACACAAACACGAGTACTAAGAAAAACTAACCCTGTCCTTGTGGCGCTTGTAGAAAACATCCCAATACCTCTTGGCCTCTCTTTCATACTTTTCTGCAAAGAAAAACCAAAAATTTAAACTTTATTTTTCATTTGGGTGGAGGAATTTCAAATGGATAGATAATTACCTCTCCAGAAAGGTGAGACCCCAGAATTTGTATTGGGATAAATTTGCAGCTTTTGGGTTTGGGGTGGTGACTTTTGCTCCCCTGAAGCCATTGCAATGCCTACTTTGTGAGGTTTGCTTATACACAAAGAAGCGTTAGAAGAACAAGTGAGATCAAACATCTGTTTTAATGAAACTGGATTTGCGCATACACTTCAAAACCTACCTATTTGCCTTTCTTCCAGCGTTTGGTAGCGGAAAATACACTTTCAGGCTTTGGGGTTTATACATTTAATTAGATAATCAATTCTTTTATTATTGAATTGAAATTTAAGACGTAAGAACCCCAGATGCCAAAGTGACAATTTTTTTATATAAAAAATATTTTTATTAAAAATTATCTGTGTGTTACTTGCAGTTGTAATATCTATATATATATATATATTAATATTTATAATTTATTTATAATAATGTATATTTTTAATTTGACTAAGATATTTTACATTTGTAATTATATTTTAAAATTAAAAA